CTGTCGCTAGACTTCCTTAAAACATTCTGATTTCTATTCGGCCAGTGTCGTGAGTGCAGACCGTCACGTTGGCAATCGTAAGATCTGCAAGACAAGACGAAGGCCGAATGTTAAAACAAAGAAAATTAAAACGGTCTATTTCCCCTCGGTGAATTCCAGCCACTGACTGAAGAAGGACGGCAAACAACGCGAAACAGGCTCTCTCTCTCTCTCATCTGCCATCTCTCAATCCGAAACGTCCCAGACATCAGTCGAACGTGTTTGGATTAGCATTTAAACCATTTGCGTAGGAAGCAAGTAAGTAAAGTGAAGTGGGGAATAAGGGCTCCTAATTGCTCCCCGTCTCTCTTATACTGTCATGAAAATGAACCATTGTTTAATAACGGCGTTCCATCCACGACGAATTAATTATTATTATTGTATATAAATCCTGGCTGTGCCACTTCTGATGAATACAATTACAGATGAATGGACCCAGTTTTGAGCGCTACGATTAACTTACGTCAAAATACAGTATCTCGTTTCTATATGTTCCTAGCTTCTCTCTGTGCACTGCTCTCTCATAATATCACGACATTTCAGACGTACAATTCCAGACAGGCATAAAATTTCGCGACAATGAGAGAAACAGGAAATTAACGAAATATTGGTCGCACCGAACAAGAGACAATTAAAAAAGAAGAAAGATATAAAATCATAATGAACAAAGATAGTTATATAAATCTATAGTTCAGTATCAGAACCCATTATTTTTCACTTGTTTGTGCCCTTTCCATTAAGAATTGGCAGAGAAAGGACTATGAATCGATAATCCTGCAAAAAATTCAAGTTTTCAACTCAATGCAATTAAAACATTTGGTAAAAGTCTAGATTATGGCCTCCGAAGGAGTTGGGGGTGGGGGGATCGAAAGTGGAGGTCTCCCCCACCACTGTACCATAAAAAGTTCGTGGCGGTCTCACCCCCATAAAAAGTTATCTAGTCATCTAGACATTTACCAAACATTTTTGCGAACAGTAACCTAATCTAGGTCTACGAAAATCGCCTTTTGAGATTAATATTGGTCTTGTTTTTCCATTTGAGTATCAATTGCATTAAAGGAAAAAAGGTTTGACTTCTTGTCCTATCCCTATGCAAAACTTCTAACCTCTTTAAATTTTAATACTTTACCTGAAATAATCTTTGATAATAGTGTGAATGTCAACGTCGAACTAACTCCAAAGCTTTTCAATCATTCCACAACGAAAATAAGTAACAAAACTGCAAGTAAATTCTTATCCTCGGTTAATCTTCTTCATGTAATTCTATTTCGTCCGTTTTTTCGTCACATTTATACGTTCTTCTTTCGCATCGCTCCGAACATTCCGCGGTCATTAAATTTGTAAGTCAATCTCAGTTTTCAGGTAATCTTTTGAATATGCCGGCGGTTTTTTCGGTCGTGGATATCAAGCCGCGGATAAAATTCGTAAGGAAATTGTTAAATCGTTCAATAAATTACAGTCGTTTGCGAACATTACGTTTGACAGGCAGGTACGCTGAAAGATTACGGGATTGCCTTCAGGGCTTACAGGACTGAGCCAGCCATAATGAGAACTGTTCTATCTTCTATCTATCCTCTTCCTTAATAATTCACCAAGTGACGACGGCACGCGGGAACGAGAGAAACTCGCGTTTCACGCGCCATAACTGACGCCAACATTTAGACCATTTCCCCCAACACTGATTCGCTTTCATTAAATATGCAAGTAGCTCTTCAAGACGTGAAAATAGCCTCAAAATCACGGAACTCAGGTACAAATAAATATGAACCATCCATACTTATAATAAGTACAGTGTATACTCTATATAACAACACTTAAGGGACTGAACATCTTTCGGCGTTATAAAAAGTGGTCGTTAAATGGAGAGAAATAAAAGATATTATTTTACTATTCTATAATAATATGCATTTACCAATATAGTACACATTTTGCACACGAACATTATTATTCATACATTGCGTATAGCCTATTATCTTCGTCTGATGTTTTTTGCTGCTCCAATATTTTAATTGTATTTTGTTACGTATCTTACTCATATCTTGAGATACTGCTGGATCAATTTGATTATATAAAAAGTATTTTTTTAATAGTTTCGCTGCATCAAGTGCTTGTTTGATGCTTGGTGGAGGGACAGGATCGTCTTCTTCAACAACGTACACAGCATCAGTTCTTATCTATTTCGGCAACTTAGAAAGTACTGCTTAATGATTTATAATGCCGCATTGTTGTCGTTAAATAGAGTGAGCGTGACGCTATACAGAGTGTAATATTGTATAGAAAACAATGTAAACCAACCAAAAGTCAAGCAATTTCGACGTTTTAAGGAGTTTGTCGTTAAATCGAGTGACGTTATAAAGAGTTTACACTGTATTTAACTTCTATTTAACAGACTGTGTATTAGATAGATAAATTAACGCTATTATATAAAATTAAATAATAGTAAAACAAGAATACTCGCATGCAAGCGAAGAAAAAGTTGGGAAAGAGCGAATATAAAGATAAGGGACGAAAAATTAGAAGAAGTGGCTGATTTTAGATCACCTTTAACAATCTTTTTCGAATTTCTAATATTACTAATTTTGATTCTTTCCTACTTCACTCAACGAGTTCAAAGTTCAAAATAAATTTAAAAAATACATAAACTTTTGAACGTTTAACTTATATTATAGAAATTTAAATATCTAAGAATTTCGATTTTACTTATGATGTAGATACAAATAGGTAGTTTTTAGTATAAGCTATCAACCGCAGGGAATGCATTAAACTTGGATTAAATGAAGACCGCAAGCAAGTGGTTAATACTGACGACTTTGTCATTTGACAATGGTGCAATTGGAGAGAAGCCGATATTTCATTCGCAGTAAAACCGAAAATTAATTGCGATTCCATCAGCCCTCACCAGCTCGGACCATGGATGCACACGGCAATGTCGAAATCCAATTAAATATGTGAATGACAGCCCGTTTGGACAACCAAGTAGTCAATGGTCAGTTTAAAACAGTAGGTCCGAGCTACAATAAATACGCCCTCGTCACCAATGTAAAAGAAGGGAAATATTAATAAACGAAATCGAAGAGATAGACTATGGAAAAATGTAATAATTCGTATCCATTTAAGCTAAGTATGAGAATAACAAATCTTTGATATATAATAAACAAACCGTTATAAATACATACGCCAAACGACAGGCAATTTGTGAGAAAGAATTAAAGAACACTCCAAATACTTATAAATGTTTAGAGAGAACCAAAAACGGATACATGGGCAATTGAATACTCATTATTCTATTTTCAATTTTTCTCTATTCTAATTGAGTGCCTTTATTATTAAAAAATCAAATTCTGCTGGAATTTTCTCAGCTTAACATTAAGTTCGCAAAGCATTTAAGCAATTAAATGCTCATTAAGCGGATCAGTTACAAATTAAATGTTCTTATCCCTTTCCAGTAAATAAAAATTCGCAACTTGGGCTAAAAACAGGTTCGAGCAAGGAAAACCACTGTTTCAATCATGGACCGTTTAAAAGCCCAGCAAAGGATAATAAGAAATTAGATGCCACAAGTATTTTTTTAAAAATTAATGTTCTCTTGTCTTAAGATTAGATTAGTAGCAAAAAAAATTGTTTAAACAATGAAATTAACATTAATTTTTTAATTAAATGATCTCAAAACAGACCAGTCGTCAATTTAATGATAATAAAAATTGGAGAACGAAACTTATACTGGTACTGTGCTAAACTTCTTAAAAATAAAATAAGCCTTTAATTCAGACATTGAAAGAAATTTTCAGCTCACTTTTATGCCAACACTTTTTTTACTGGAAAAATAATAAGAACATTTAATTCGTAATTAGTCTGTTTCGAATTTTCGCATTTAATTATTGTGTGACCAAACTGCTGACTTTATTTTAACCTATCAGAGCAGCATTTTTTAAAAAATGCCAGAAGAATTTAATTTCTCATTAAGACACTTAATTAAAATTTAACTCTCCATGTCCTGTTTTTGATTCTGCTGACTTTGTTCTTCCTTACTTAAGAAAGACTGGTGCATAAGTAGATACAATTAAGAATCATAAAATCTATGCAACAAATTTCAAAATCTTATATACAAAATATAAAGAAAGGTAACTTATTTTGAATAAGAATCAGTATAATCTATTGTGTCATGATAAGAATAATATTATGTCAAAAAATATGTTGGTAGTGAATTTATAAATCCTGTAAGACATTTAAGACCTAAAGGGTTACTTTCCCTTTCTAAGGATATCTAAAAAACAAGAAATTTTATAAGCAAATATCTAACAGGTCGTTTATCTAAATTCTTGAAATTTTCTATAACAAACGAATTAAAAATTAATTGGATTGTATATTGTACAGTTCCGAGCTCGTACCTTAAAATGATTTATAATTAAAGTTTTAGAAAAACCCTTATCTGAGAAGCAACTGTGCGGTGATGCAAGCTGCAAATTCGTGTATTATCAACATAAATTTAAAATGATAACGGCTGTTACTGTGTACGAGGAAGTAAAGGGTTTTCTGGCGCAGGCCGTTAGTACCGAAATGATCTATAAAACTGACGAAAAACTTTTTAATGTAAGAGAAGCGCCAAACTTAACGACTGTCAAAGACATTAAAAATGTGGTTTATTCTTTCTTTTCGGTGTTATGTAAGATAAGGGCACATTAGGAGAAGAATTTGTACTATCGCACCTAATAAACGACCTTTGAACCGTGCATATAAAGACCTTACGGTCGCAATTGTTCCACCTTTTTACTTTCAACACTCGTAAAATTCTTTTCATTTGTTTTTACGATAGCAATATACTTACACCTATGTAATAAAGGAATCCTACTAGCAGTGGAAAATTTGGAAATCCATTAGCTTTATCTGAATCTAATATTCAGTTTTCTGGGCTAATGCAGCCAAAGTTCGAATAAATGAAAATCAATGTCAAAAGTACTCACCTATTTGTGGATTACGAAACCTCAAAGGACCGATGCTTGTATTATACTGTTCTGGAAAAGAAATGTTCCTAATTAGTCCAAACATTTGCTAACAATAAAATTGGAATATAAAGTCAGAAACAAAAGAAAACGAAATTGCTTTCAACGTAGCATTCGCTCTACAATTTATTGTTTTAGCATGTCAAGTATTTACCAAGAGTATCTGTAATCATTAAGGTCCTATAGTGTGAGGAAATTTATAAACCAGGATCATAAATTCATGTTCATTTGGTCTAGTTGCTTCGCGTTCCTACAATTAATTTTATACTCTCCTATTGTTTTTGCTTTTTTTTCTATTTTATTCTTGATGTTTTATGTTTTTCAGATCTTTTACTACTTCATGAAAGGCATCTTAAACGTTTTCTGATGGAAAATTCAATAACTAGGTATATCAGCATCCATATTTGCCTACACATGCCTGCATAATGCATCTGGATGCTGCAGTTTCCATTGTGAGCTAAGATGTTAAATAATGAGGCTACTATTTCAAGGACTAAATCTCTACGAAGAAGTAAAACTGCGCTAAAGCAACGAATAAATCAAAGTCTAGGAGCTAGCCATTATTTCACTTCTGCCTTATATTTAGGTATAACGTTCAAAAATATATTCTTTTGGAGTCTACTAACCAAACATTCACCGTCCATTCTTTATATTGGAATTGGACTTTCAAAATAATTCTACTGTCTGACTTTTGTGATACGAATTTCTATAAGTCGACATCTTTTCTAATTCGAATCTTTCCTTGTTCTAGAAATATTAATTACTTTTTTTTTAATGTACCTATATGATGATTTTAAGAAAGACAAGTTCGTCTGGAATACACTGAATCTCACATTTTTTAACTTTTAACAATGAAAAATATTAACTAAAGTTGTAGAGAAGACAAATGAAGTTGTCTTTCAAAAACATCAGAGTTAATGGAACAATATTTAAATATGAAGGGTCAATAAGGGTCTTAAATCCAAGAAGTTATTATGCATTTAAATCCAATTATGTAACTAACCCAACCTGGCCATTCTGTGTGCTTTTTATTTATTCTGATTGTTTAGTACTTTTACCAAATATTTCATTACAAAAATTCTGACCATCACCTTTATTAATTTGCTACCTCGACTTGCTGTCGAATAACTAACCTGTGCAATGTTGCTTTTTTTTCAATAAATCATCTCGGTCGCTCATTATTATTAGATACAAAAGTACGTTAAAACTAAAAGCAGTCAGTAAAACATATCACTTTATACGAACTTGCAAATACCTACAAACCGACGCGACGAACCGAAACGAGAATTTCCTTTTTAACAACACTTTCGATTACCGAAAATACCACTATAATTATACTATTTTCTTTAAAAGTACAATTATCCTTTTTCTAACTAACGATATATTAATTAAATAGACCGACGCGGTGCAGAAACATCGCGGAAACCACGAAACACGCTATCACTTGCAAACGACCATGCAGCTTATGACGATTGTTTGCACAGTATGAAATAAAAAAAAGCTGCAACGAAATAGTCGAGAATGAACTCTATTTACCATGTTCATAAAGATCATTAATGTATAGACCATGCATTCCATTTTCCCGAACACGAAAAGCCCAGTGTATAAAAACACATACGAATACGTACGGATTATTCCGATTGTATAATAATGTTGTTTGTTATTGCTCTAAAGTACAGAAATAAAAAGGTGAGGTTACAATTAGAAAGTAAATATATGTCGAATTTTGACCAATCGCGATTTGTATGGGTACCAACATTAGAGATGTTTATTTTAATGATACGCGAAACCCTATACAGGGCCGGCTTTAAGTTTGAATAGAGACCCCTTAAAAAAAACCGAAATAATNTATAATATATAATAAACTATTTCCACTAGCAAAAAGTTTTTTCTGTACTTAGTAGGTACTAACCCTAAAGACAGCAAAAGATGCTTTAAAAATGAATCCTTATGGTCATAAGGCCGTACACAATTCGCCTCTCGCTAGTTAGAAAGGAATAGTAAAAAAAATCTTCTTGCAATAAATAAAATCTGTTTAAATGAATTTCTTTGTTATTAGTATATTATTTTTTTACACTAAACTTATATCAAATGAAAAGTATGTTGTGCGTACTATTTTTTATAATATTTTTAAATGAAGTACATATTTCTTTTCATTTTTCGAACGTTATGATTATTTTTATCATTATTATTATAATTGGAATTTAATGCTTACTTTAATTATTAGTATTTTTTCAATTTATTTTTAATTAAAAAGATAAGCCTTATGAAAACAAGGCCCACTAAACTACAACCCCTTTACGAAAGAGAACACAGTGCATACATTGTCTCTCTTTATCAAAACTGCTTATAAAGCCAGAGGGTAAAAGAACTGTCATTCCATTAGCTTCCTAGACGTTCCGTCGAATTCCGAAAAGCCTCCGAGAAATATTTGACACCTTATACACCTGGAATTCCTAAATCTTGTAAAAGTTATTACATTGTTAGGGGGTTAAAGTGCTTGCTACTTCTTCTTCTTCCTCCGTTCAATTCGACGCTGGAGGCTTTTGTTTTGCAATGCAATGTACAATTCAGAATCATGTACTGAATCACAGAAAATCTCGACTGAGAAGTGACAGGCAAAAGTACAACGTCTCGTATACAAAATTCATTTACATGTAAGTAGTTTATTTACGCGAGAAACTCTATCTAAGGTCTCCTTCTATACATGTACACAGATATTTATTTTCTACATAAATCTTTACACCTGAGGAAGGCACTCAGAAGAGAATATCGTGTCATCATTTCAATTCTGTTACGTGGAAAAGGATCAAATGTCAATCAAAATTGAATTATTCCTACAAATTATAACCCATTTTTTAAATTAAAGTTAAAAACTTTTAAGTACAACGCAATGGAGAGGTCAGGGGGGTAGCGGTCACAACTCGCGCTACAACCCCGCTACGTAAGGGGAGGGAGACATCGAAAATTGATGGGTAAAGGTCTAGATGACGGGGGTGGGGGTGGGTGGGATCGAAATAGGAAGTCTCCCCCACCACTCTACCATAAAAAGTTCGTGGCGGTCTAACCCCCATAAAAAGTTATGGGGGTTAGGTGATGGCCCCCCACACCCAAAGGGGGTGGGGATAGGGGGGATCGAAAGAGGGTGCTCGCCTGAGTAAAACCCCATAAAAAGGTTGCGGCGGTCTCACCCCCAGGGGGATTCTATTATTTTGACAATTTTTATACACTACAATTCAAATAAAATTCAATAAAATAATTATTTTAAAGCGGGTGGAAGTGGGGGATCGAAGGAGGGTGGTCACTTGAACAAAACCCGATAACCTAACCTAACCTGTCCTATTGATAAAGATATTTAAATAATGTTTTATATAACTTTCTCAATATTTTTAATGTATTTTTCATTAGTTTTACCTTTGAATATTGTTTAAGAATGACTATATAAATATTTACATGCCTAAAAATGTATAAAAATTGGCATAACTTTTTATGGGGGTGAGACCGCCACGATCTTTTTATGGTACAGTGGTGGGGGAGACCTCCTCTTTTGATACCCCCACCCCATCATCTAGACCTTTACCAATTGATGAATTTTGCGTTAAAATACATGACAAAGTCAGTCGTTTTTATTCGTGTTTTAAATTATTCAAACCCTTTCGACAAACACCATCCAGAGGCTCATTTAATTTTCTTTTGTTCTTTTTTTCGGTTTTCCTTTGATATTTTTTCATACCTCTGTATTTAAAATTCACGTAATACGGTACGCATATGAATTCATTTTGAGGTTCATATGTGTATGCATATATTTTGCACATCATAAATTCTCGAACAATATAATGTACAAAATAAATGTACCAACTCACTAATTTTTAGTAAATGATGTAATACTTTGTGCACAATGTGTATTTTCCTGTAAATATGAATCTCAAACTAACGGTAAATAATTAATAAAAAATATTCACAAACCTTTGTTATTTACTACCCACGTCCAGTTAACTTGTTCACTTTTATAATACGAACGAAATCTATTTTCACAAAAAAAAACAAGAGTTTTTAAATTTAATTCACACTAAAATGCATTCATTATTCGCGATTACTAAACTAACCAGGTACGTACATACGTCTGTAGGTATCGTGTATTTATGATTCAACTGTTCCGTTTGCAAAATGAATTGAAGTAACCTTGAACTGCCTTGAGGTAATTAATGTCGGTAATGTTATTCAAAACAATAGATATTAAAATAAATAGCGTTAGATTCGCTTTAAGCGAAGAACACACACGATCGTAACCGCGACCGCGTTCGCGATATCGTAACGATCGCGACTGCGATAGAAAGCACACATACATGTGATTTTTATTTAATTAAAGTAATTTATATCATTACAGTGAAAAGATCAAAAGGTTAGAGGNATATTTTTTTTAATGAATTTTATTTGAATTATAGTGTATGAAAATTGTCAAAATAATCAACTTTCAACCCCCATAACTTTTTATGGGGGTGAGACCGCCGCAAAGTTTATATTAGGTTAGGTTAGGTTATCGGGTTTTGTTCAAGTGACCACCCTCTTTCGATCCCCCACCTCCACCCGCTTGAAAATATTTTTTTTAATGAATTTTATTTGAATTATAGTGGATGAAAATTGACAAAATAATCAACTTTCAACCCCCATAACTTTTTATGGGGGTGGGGGCCATCATGTAGATATTTACCCTACTATCTTCTATGTCACCTAAGTAAATTACACGCAATCCCCGATCAAATTCAACCCATTTTTATAACGGAAACAACTTAGGAGATCGCTGTATATTTCCCGGGTATGGCGGAAATGTAACAACAAATATGTGTCCATTAATTTAATTTCAATAGATGGGTCTGATGTCTGACCATCACCGCCATCACGAACGCACTAGCGCCCGCGCCCGCGTAAGTGTGTTCTTCGCTTTAGCTAAATTTAATTGAAAAAGCAATTTACTGAAAATATAATAAAAAATAGCTGCTCCGTTTTTTTTC